GGGGGGGGGGGGCAGAGGAGGAGCCATCAGGGACTGAGGGGGCCCCAGGGTGTGATCCTGCCCTGCAGACAGGGGAAGAATCTAAGGATGTGATAAAGGCAGAAAGAAGAAAACAAAGTCTAGGAAAAACAAACACAGAGAAGAAGAATTTCTAAAACTGGATAAATAAAAGAAATGTAGTACAGTTACACAACTTAGAAGTATGGAGGTAAGCTGCAGAAGAACTACAAACAGAAACAGTTACAGGAGTTAAAAGGATTCCCCCTGGAGAGGGGACTGGAGTGAGGATGGGGGCGGTGGGGGAGAGTATAATACCACTTTAACTGATGAGACGGCTGTGTTATTGGCTTGTTTTAATCACGTAAAGGTAATAACTTTGATAAAAGCATATAAAACCCATTTTAAGAAAATCATGACAATTTGCTGGGTTCTTGCTTATTAGAATAAAATATTCTCAGGTCAATGATTCCAGGTATCCCCAATACTTACTGAAGAAGTTCATTTGCCTTGAGTATGAAAGAACCCACAGCGGTAATAGCATCTGAAGAGAAATAAATAAACATCATTTTTCTAGTAAGGAAAGTGTGTTTAATGTATTCTATTGAAAAATTAAATTACTACCTTCAATTCCTGCAGCATCTAGTCCAAGAGGTTCATATTTTTGCTTCCACGAAGCCATTCCTTTCAGTTCACTCAAATGGTACAATAAAGACTCGGAGCCACTATCAAAACAGAGCAGAAGTAAGTTACTATCATTACCATCATCAAGGTGGCAGACAGCTACTTCCTCACCTAAATATTTCCAAATTTTCAGAAATAAAAAATGAAAGTAACTTCAATTTTCTTTCTATGAGAAATGATCATTTCTCAAAATTTTCTCTAAAAGCCGTAACAGAACCATTTGGCCATCTGGACAACTGAGATGAATACATGACCGTAAGATTTAATCTTACAAGATCACATTATGTTCTACAGTTAGCCCTGGCACTTTGAAGACAGTCATATGGTCATCTTATTTACCCAAAAGCTATGTATTTAGCATTCAACAAACATGTATTAAGCTCTAGCTTTAAGTCAGCACTGTGCTACATACTGCGGACACAACAGTGAACAAAGCGAAAGGATCCTTAGGGCACTGACAGTCTCATCGTGGGGGGGGCACTCATAAGCACATCAGACAGTATATCATTCCAACTATCATAAATGCCTAGAAGGAAATGCACACGAGTGCAGGTCTAATTCAATAACCTGACCTAATCCGGGGAATTGGGGAAGGCCTCTCGGAACAAGTGAGATTTTAGCTAAGGGGTTCAAGTAAAGAGCAAGGTGGGAGTGTTCCAGAAGGCAAGACGGATGCACAAAAGCCCTGAGTAGGAAGAAAAAAATGTCAAGTCTGATAAGCCCACCAGTGCGCATGAAGCAGAGGCAGATGTGTTAAAGGCTACGCAAAGGTCTTGGTCCTGAGAGCAAGAGGAAGGCCCTGGAAGTTTTTAAGTAAGAGTAACATGATCAGATCTGCTATGGGGAATACATTTGAGGCACACATATATATTTGTGGACTGGAAACCAGGCCAAAGGGCACTGCAGTGACCCAAGGCTGAGATGATGTAGTAAGGGCTAGGGAACTCAGCATAAAGGGATTTACCAAAATTTAAGTCAAACTCCGAGCAGCCACATGCAAACTGCTTCACTGAGGGAGCTGTGGATAGAAATAGCATGAGACCTAAAGATCGGAGACGGAGTCTGGCAGTGACACTTAGTAACTTCAGGCCAGTATGGGTTTCAGTTTCTTCTTGTGTAAAAGGCGGAAAATCATAATCAACACCTTGCCAAAGTGTTAAATGCAAAAACACGTAACATGCTTTGTAAACCGTAAAATGATAAATATAATTTCTCTGCTCAAGAAAGGGTATATGGGGATGCCCGGGTGGCTCAGTCGATTAAGCACCTGCTCTGGGCTCAGGTCATGATCTCAGGGTCCTGAGATCAAGTCCCGCATTGGGCTCCTTGCTCAGCAGGGAGCCTGCTTCTCCCTCTCCCTGCCGCTCCCCTGCTTGTGCGCTCTCTCTCTCTCTGACAAATAAATAAAATCTTAAAAAAAAAAAAAACAAAAAAAGGTATATGCCTTTTCAAAATATACCTCATGGTTGTCTGGCTGGGAAAAAAAGCCCAGACAGAGAGCCTAACCCGGTGAACAGATGTTTGAAAATTATTTCAAGATTTACCACTATTAAAAAAAAAAA